TCCTCCTCCTCCTCCTCCTCCTCCTCCTCCCCCCTCCTCCTCCTCCTCCTCCTCCTCCTCCTCCTCCTCCTCCTCCTCCTCCTGTGCGCCCCGCCCCCAGACGACGGCGCCGACGTTCGCAGGGCGCCAGCGGCTCCTCGGCGGGGCCGGGGCCCCGCGCCGCAGCCGCGCCGGCAGCGGGCTCCAGGAAGTGCTGGCCGGAGACGCGGCCGCGCGCGAGCACGGAGCGCTCCTGCCGCGGGCGCGCCACTGCCGCTGCGATGTGTTCGCGCGGCATCGGCGCTCGCAGGGGCTTTCGACACCTCGATGGTCGTTCCGCCTCGAATGGATCGCGTCCACGATCCTTCCAGGTTGGATTCCGTCGTCTGGCGTCACCGCGTCCCTCGGTGCTGCCGCGTCGCAGGAGGCAACCCCGAGCGCCTTCGCCGGCATCGCCAGCGCGCCGACGCCGCGCGAACCTACCGTAGACCTGCCTCGATTTCTGAGGACCTCCCAAATTGAAGTGACCCGGGATTCCCAGTAGTTGTTACGTGTTTTCTGATTTGTTTTTTTTTCTTCCATTTCTCATGATCTCCCATGTTCCCCTGGGAATCGACGTTCGCTTGTGTCTGTGACGATTTTTCCGTCCTGACTAATGGGGTTCGAGTAGATGGGGTCGAAGAGTCGCTCCGCATCGCCGATGCATCGCGATGCATCAGCGACTTCGGAGTAGAGAAAAGCGGGAGCCGCGTCGCCAATACATCGGCGATGCGGAGCGATCTTTCGACCCCATCTACTCGGACCCAATCTGAGAGGCCTCGAATTTCGGCCCTCGGCTACCACAACATACGTTTTCCCTCGATTGCTGGGACCATCAGAAACGAATCTGGGGCGAAAAACTGTCCCTGGGGAAGCGGTCAGAACTATCTGACGCCGCGCATCCGAAAAATCAGATCCCCGGATGTCAGGGCTACTCCTCGCGACACCTGCCGCGACGAGCGCTGGAGCTCAACGTCGCTTGTCGAAGCGTGCTCTCTGCACCTTTCCCTGCGACATATCGACCCACTGCTCCGTCCTTCTCTCCTCCCCTTTCAGGAGCCTCCCTCCGGTCGGGCGCACGCTCTCACGGGTCGGGGACAGCACCCCCGAACTATAGGGCCAACGCCGCCTGGACTTGGCGACGGAGCGCGCCGACTCCGCACAGAAACGGGATGCCTCGCAATCCACGCGCTGCGAATCCACGGAAACGGGACGCGTCCGCGAATCCACGCGGTGCAATCCACGCGTCACAATCCACGCGTTTGCAATTCCTTGATCCAGCCCCTCCCCCCTCCTCCTCCTCCGCCTCCTCCGCCTCCTCCTCCTCCTCCTCCTCCGCCTCCTCCTCATCCTCCTCCTCCTCCTCCTCCTCCTCCTCCTCCTCCTCCTCCTCCTCCTCCTCCTCCCCCTCCCACCCACCCACCCTCCCACCCCCCTCCAAGACCCCGCGTCATTCGTTGCCGTAGCGAGCCCCTCTGGCGCGCGAGACGAGGCCGCCGCGCGCGCCCCGCTGTTGCGCGCGCCCATCCCCCTGAAGGAGGCCTCCTGAGATATCTCCGCTGCCTCCCGCAATTCCCTTGTGGAGGGGGGGCAACGCTTGTGGGGGATAGACTCCGGGAAGGGGGGTGAAGGAGGGGGGGAAGGAGGGGGGGGAGAGGGGAGGAGGGGGGGGGGAGGGGAGGGGAACATCGACGAGCTGGACTCAGCGATACATCGCAGACAGGGGCCTGATAGCCCACCTCGCAACCGGAACGCCGGAGTCGCGATCGGGGGGCTATCGCCGATCTATCGTCGATGTTGCACCCAGTCGAGGTCGATGCAAGCCCCCCCATATCCCCAGCCCATATGCATATTCTTAGGTCGGGCATGTCCTCCTAGAGGCGAAGCTTGGACGAAAAATGCAAAATACCCCAGAGATGGTCAGAAAATGATCGAAAGATGCTCAAAAAGTCGTCCCCAGGCTATTTTTCAACTATCTTTGAATATCCCTCCTGTAGAGGGACACGCCCGACTCAGGCCTATCCCCCCCCCGATCGTGGCCCCCTGCCTCGGCGGCCCCCCCCCCTGCGGCGCGCGGCTGCGAGCGCTGGCCCGAGAGCTGCGGGGGGGGGGGGGGGCGCGGCCGTCCTTGGAGAAGGCGTCCAGGCACTTGCGCGCATCTCGCCCACGGCTCTCATCCTCCTGGGAGCCGCACACACGCTCTCTCTATCTTTATATATATGTGTTCATATATGATCATATGTTTAAATATAAAAATATATGCTTCTATATACACATACGTATATATATATATGTATATAGAATCGATTATGCTGGCCCGGGGGCGGGGAGAGAGGCACAAGGGCGAAGAGAGCGTCCCGAATCTCCGACGGACTGTGTTCTCACTCGGGGCGGGCGTCCCTGACTTCCGCCCCGGGGGGCCGCTCCCGGGACCCGAGGCCATCGATTACTCGACGCGTTGATCCCCACGTGTGCATCTCATGCTCTTGTCACGCCTCGCTGAGGAACTTTGGGCGAGTCCACGCAGACGACGGGCGCGACGACGACGACGCCGACGCCGACGCCGACGCCGACGCCGACGCCGACGCCGACGACGACGCCGACGACGACGACGACTACGACGGTGACGACGACGACCACGACGACGGTGACGACGGTGACGACGGTGACGACAGCGACGACTACAGTGACGTCATCCTCCTCTGGCCATCCTTCAGGAAAGATGAGGGAAGCACACATGGAAGAGCGATGGAGCAAAGAACCACCAAAAGAGAGAAGACTAAGAATGAATCTAAGCGTGAGTGATCTGAGTGTGAGTGAGTCTGTGTGTAGTCAGAGTAAGAGTGAGTCCAGGTATGATTGAGTTTGAATGTGTCTGAGTCTACGTATGAGATAGTCTGAAGACGAGTGGGTCTGAGTATCAGTAAGTCTCAGTGTGAGTGAATCAGCTTGGATGGGTCTGAGTGTGGGCAAGTCTGAGTGTGAGTGGGTCTGTATGATGCATACGAGTCCGAGTATGAATGAGTCTGAGTACAAATGAGTCTGAGTATGAGTGTATATGAGGGTAAGTGTATCTGAGTATGAGCGAGTCTAAGTGTGAATAAGTCTGAGTGTGAGTGAGTATGAATACGGGTATGATGAGTGGAGTCTGAGTATAAGTGAGTCTGAGTACAAGTGAGTTTGAGAATGTGTGAGTCTGAGGGTGAGTGAGTCTGAGTGTGAGTAAGTTTGAGTGTGAGTGAGTCTGAGTGTGAGTGAGCCTGAATGTGAGTGAGTCTAAGTACGAGTGCGCATGAGTACGAGTGAGTCTGAACAGTGTCCAGTCCGAGTGTGCAGAGTGAGTCTGAGCGAGGAAGATGTGCTGATGGGTAGTAGGTCTGAGTGTAGACTCGTATTGATGAGGAACAGGAGGAGGTGAGCGACTGGGTAAAGTCCGGAGGCGCCTGACACCCACAAGACCAACCACAACCTGGGTGCTGGAGCAGGAAAGCCGCCCGAGACACCCCCACTCTACATAACCGCGAAGGGGCCCGTGAAGTACCCCCTCCTCTGGCTCCCCGTGGCGGGGTAATGAATCTCAGCACCTCGGCGGAGACATGCTCACAGTCTGCTCCGAAAGCAAAGGATGCTGGGCACGCTCGCTCGCTCGGCCGTGCATCCGGTGGGACGCGTTGGCAAACGCAGGTTGCGACGTTGGCAACCGAACGGAAAACATGAACTGCAAGTGTACAATGGGTGCTGCAACACTAAGAAGGGGGAGGGGAGGGAGGAAGGCGAGATTGCCTTAGACCGTACACCGAAGAAGCCCACTGATGTTGGGCACGGAAACAAGCAAACCGCCCGAGACGTCCCGAAAATCCGGGCGCGAACGGGCCGGTGAAAGATCCCCGCGCCCTCCCCCCTGGGGAGCTGACACCAGCGCCTCGCCTGCGACATCCTCCCAACCTGCTCCGAAAGCAGAAAATGCTGGGCACGCAAGTGGGCAAACCGCCTGAGACATCCCCAACATCTGGGCGCGAACGGGCCCGTGAAATACCCGCCTTGCACCCCCTCCATTGGGATGCTGAAACCTGCGCCTCAGTCTGCGTACGTGAGTAATTCTGAGTATGAGTGAATCTGATGATGTAACTGAGTCTGAGGAAGAGTGAGTCTGAGTTTGAGTGAGTCTGAGTATGAATGAGTCTGAGTGTGAATGAGTCTGAATATGAGTGAGTCTGAGTGTGAATAAGTCTGAGTGTGAGTGAGTCTAAATACGGGTATGATGAGTAGGAGTCTGAGTATGAGTGAGTCTGAGTACGAGTGAGTTTAATAATGTGTGAGTCTGAGGTGGATGAGTCTGAGTTGAGTGAGTCTGCGTATGAGTGAGTCTGAGTTCGAGTAAGTCCAAGTACGAGTGTGTGAGCTGACCTAAGTGGAGTCTGAGTAAGTAAGTCTGACTATGAGTGACTCTGAGCGTGAGTCAGTCTAAGTGGAGTCTGAGTGTGCGTGAGCCTGGGTGCAAGTGGGTCTGAGTGTGAGTGAGTCTGAGTGTGGATGCATCTGAGTGTCGGTGATCCCGAGTATGAGTGAGCATGAGTCTGATGTGGGGGAGGACAAGTGATGTGAGTATGAGTTCGGTGTGGGTGATGCGAGTATGAGCATCTGAGTGGTATGAGTAAGGGAGAGGGAGAAGACGAGAACGAAGGAGCAAGGTCCGGAGGCGGCCAGGAAATAGCATGTACCATTAAGCCTATCCTAGGATTCGGGGACCTGCTGACCCGGGTCAATCCAGACCCGGGTCGGTCAGGCCTTACAACAAAGTCCTGCGAGATCCAAAAAGATCCTGCACCCACACCCGGGTCCATGCGAAGGATCCTGCAAAACCCTGCAGGATCCTGCGCCCAAGCCCGGGCCAATGCGGCCCTGGCCTGGCAGGATCCGGCAAGATCGGGCGCTCTGGCCGAACCCCCGTTGGCGTGGACCCCCGCCTCGAGGCTCCCGATAGGATATGTGGGGACAGATGGGCCCCGGGCGAAGAGCTGACCCCGGGGCGGGGGGTCGGGACCTCCGGGGCCGCGGACTAAAAAAAAAGAAAAACAAAAAAAAAAAAGTCGGCGGATGTCAGGGCTCTCGCTTCCTGAGCATTCTCTTGGGGTGGAGGGCTCAGGGTGAAATCCATCTGGGCTTTTTCCACCTCCAGAGCCAAGCCATCTTGGGATTCACCTGTTTTGCAGGCTCGAGCCTCGCAAACCAATCGAAGCGGCACTTCAGGTTTCACCCTTTGCCCTACACCCGAAGAAAATGCTCGGGCTTCTCTGGACAGCGTGAAGCGGGGGCCGGCCGACGGGAGGCGCGGCCGACCCGGGCAGCGGTGGGCTGCCGAAGTGTGCAAGCCGGCGCAGCACGTCTGAGGTGTTTCTGTCTTGTCCTCCCTGGCTTCCTCTCCCTCCTCTGCCTCGCTTGTCGCACTTTCCGAAGAGCTGCCGATCGCGCGCTCTTCTGCCCACGCGCCCCTCTGGATGCTCGGCTTAGTGTTGTGGATGCCATGACAATGGACACTCCAACAATCCCATCATTGAGCTAAAAATGTGTTTGACATGCGTGCAACATGTTCTAAACATGTTTCAGGCATGAGTTTGCAGATTTGAAACATGCTTGAAGCATGTGTTAGACATCTGGACACTATTTGACAGCATGCTTCCTCTCCATTAATCCTGGGCATTTTCTTAGGGTGGAGGGCTCAGGGTGAAATCCATATGGGCTTTCGCGCCTCGAAAATCAATCCGTCTTGTGACTCACCGCTTGCAGATTCAAGCATCGAACACCATCCATCGAACATCGAGCCTCTTGCATCGAAGGGAGGAGGGAAGGGAGGAGGGAAGGGAGGAGGGAGGGAGGGAGGGAGGGAGGGGGAAGGGCGGAGGGAGGAGGGAGGGAGGGAGGAGGGAGGAGGGAGGAGGGGAGGGAGGAGGGAGGGGAGGAGGGAGGAGGGAGGAGGGAGGAGGGAGGAGGGAGGGAGGCGAGGAAGGGGCTGCGGTATCGGAGCCAGGGCTGGACCTCAACGCTGTTTTCCGTTTTGGTGTTCGTTGTGCTGTTCGTTTTGCTCTACAGTCAGCCTGGCTTGGACAGGACACGCGAGGGGACGCAAGGCCCTTCCGAGGGCCACATCGCCACAGGAGTGTGAGAAGGCACGTGTCGCGAGGCACAGGACACAAGGGTACCCTTGAGCTGGCAGGGTCGACCTACTAAAACGGGCCGATTGTACCTGCTTTCCTGTGCCTCCCTGCCAAAACGAAACACAAAACACAGCCGAAGTCCAGCAAAACAGCGGTCAGGTCCAGCCCTGATCGGAGGGTCTTCCTCCTCGGAGCAACTGTTGATCGCCGGGCACCTGCGAGCAAAGGCAGATGGCAGTCGAGCGTTGGGAGTGGCGCTCCAGAAGCGAATTACGGCACGGAGGGGGCCGGACAGACCCTCTGAGCAAACAGAGAACCATTGAGGACACGGAGGGACAACGATAGGGGGCCTCCTCCTCCTCCTCCTCTTCCTCCTCCTCGTCCCCCACCCCCTGTCGACACCCCCCCCCATTCCCGCACCGCGCCCCCTTCCTCCCCCTCGCTCTCATCCCACCCCCTCCGCATCCCCCTCCCACTCTTCAGCCCTCCTCGCCCCCCTCATTTGGGTCAGTGAGCCCACACAGGGACGGCAAGCTCCCGATCCCCGGTTGACGCCCTGGCTCCTCGATCCCCGCCCCATCCCCGAGCCAAGCCGACGGTGATCCAGGACTCAATTCTGGTCTGTCGGCGGAGACTGAATCCATGCGGAGTAAGTCCATACGGAATACCCGGTCTCCGCCTGGAATTGCTCCGTTCGGGATGGACAGACCTCCCTTTAGTAGAACGTGGTTTAGTGAAAACGACCTCGGGCCCAAACCTGGCGGGCGCAAGCCTGGAAAATAACGGCCGCGGCGCCCTCTCGAGAACCGAAAACGGACAATTCACTAATCGACGTGTCAGGGTAGGAGGTCTGTCCACCCCCGAGCCGTCTGGACTTAATCTCTCCTGAGTCCAGGTACCCGATCCACGATCCGGTCCGGGCCCCCCACTTCGCCGATCCACGGTCCTGGGGGAGCGAGAAGATGCCGACGCCGCTGCTGGCCGGACCTCTTGAAGGGGCCCTGGGACACACAAATAAATACACACAAATAAAAATATTCCCCATATTTTCCCATATTTCCTGGGTTTCTGTCTTCCCCCCCACTTCCCATGTTTTCCTATATTTTCTGAGGAATCGAGGGTTAATTGTGTCTGTGTGTTTTTTCCTCTCCTGACCTCTCCCGAGACCAGCCGCAGGAGGCCCGAAAAGGCGGTAGCGAGGAAGGGCAGCCGTATCAATACCTGTTCGCCCTCTGACTGGTCCCCGGCCCCTGGCCCGGGGACACGTGGCACACGTGCCAGGGCAATGCTTCCATGACGAGAACGGCATGTCGCATGCTCAGGTCGGGCATGTCCTCCTACAGGAGGATCTTGGACGAGAGATGAAAAATACCCGAAGAATGCCCCCCCAAAATACTCTGCACTGTTTTTGAATATTCCTCCTGTAGAGGGACAAGCGACCTAATACCACGCTTGGACTCCGTTCAGGCCCCGCGCAAACACGGTAAGGTGCACAGTGAGTCGGCTCCGAGAGTCGAAGAGTGTGCACCGCACTGTCCCTGGGTCGAGGAGCCACGACGCCCCGAGAGGCAACAACGCAGCACGATGCACACAAGTAATCCGCGGGTCCGTACCGTCTTGCATGCACGTCGCCGGCAACTGGGTTGACTCAAGAGATTCCCGCAAGGGATCGAACGTGAGCATGACACTGACAAGAAACGGCACCGGTGTGCCTTCACTGTCTGGCTTTTGATCTTCTTGACTGGATCGGGATCACAGCCCAGTCTAAGACGAAGGCAGGATGATGACAAGTTCGGACTGGGACGACACGGAGGAAGGACGGGGGAGGCAGGAGGACGAGGACGATGCTGAGGACGTGGCGGGATGGCGCGGCGGACGAGGAAGCGGACGAGGAGGACGAGAACGAGAATAAATTCGGACGCCGCAAGGACGTGGAGACCGAGGACGAGGACGAGGGCGAGAACGAGGACAACTCTAGAATTTCTGAAAAATGGCAGCTCTGGAGGGTGTTTCGGGCGCCCCGGCCGTTCCAGGGAACGCTCTGAGAGCGTGATGGAGCGCTCTGGAGCAGTTGTCCTCATCTCAGGCCTGCCTGACGATCCGATCCCCGATCCACACTCCACGATTCCGAGGAGGGAGAGAGGGAGAGGGGGAAGAAATAGGAGGACGATGAGAAGGGGAGCACGGACCAGCAGCAGCAGCCAGACGCCTCGATCCAAGACTTGCGCCTCTCCCACTCGTCGTGCTTCCTGGTGCCGTCCATGCACAGGCAGGACGGGCCGCAGCTGC